TCAACCACCCTCAAACTGTTTGTGCCAGAAGTCTAACCTGTTCTAAACAAGTATTTCTCTGAGGTTTCAGCTAATGAATCCTTGTTTCTTAAGAGTGTCTTCTATTGCTACAGTGCCTGATCCAAGCGAGACCTTATGCAGAACTCACTTGATAAGTTGTGCTTTTTTTGTCAGCAAATCCCTGATATCTCTTGTGTGTCCTTTTAACCAGCACTGCTGACACACGATAGTACTTTTATTTCCCTGACTTATAAGGATCTCATCTGAGATAATGTAAAAAGCTTGACTAATGACAAAATGAAAGATCTGTCTTCCACTTCCATCCACATAATAACGTCGCAGGAGAAAGATGGGCTGATACGACATAACTTGTCCTGGGGACAAAACTCTCTATGCAGGCTCATATGTTCTGTGTGCTTACAAATAAACCTGAAACTGCACATCAGTCTGAATCCTGTAACTCTTAGGTTCACCTCTCCCAACCCACCAAACACTGCATAGATTGGAAGATTAAAAAGTGACATGCTTACCTTCCAGAGCCTCACAATGTCTCCACAAGATAACCACTACTGGCTTGCACAACTTGCACAAAATTTTCTTAATTTAATATGATTAAATCAAGGTGAAGCGATCCTGTCCATATTTAAGCACCATCAGCAATTAAAAGCAATTAAATGTTTTGCCCATTTTGCTGTATCATCAGAAAAGATAGATGGGGAAAGGGGAGAAATAGAGCCATGGATAGTGATGAGTGACAGCTCTCAGCAATGCCATCTCAAGTTTTGGGCAAAAAGCAGAGGCAGTAAGTTACAAACAGTATTTCAACACTAGGAAAGCAGAATGATTAAAAAAAAAAATCAAACAGAAACAAATAGATACAGTTAAACTGCATATTTCTATATAGTTTAATATATCTCCACAAAAGACAAGACAGCCCATAACTGGCAGGCTGCTCACCAGAGCTCTTCTAGGAGTATTAAACATAATCTCTTTTAAATTCTCCCTGGGAAGAATCTCAGCCAGCTCCAAGGGCAGCCCATGTACAATCCTGCCTTTGTTTAGGCAAGACTGCACGGGCAGAACAAGTGTAAACTCTGTCTGCTCTTATTCAGCTCATTTCTGTACAACTGTACAGCTATGAAGCAAAGAAGTGCTTCTATTTGTTGCAGTTTTCCATTGAATTACAAACACCTAGCTACATGGCTATAGTTAGAGATCCTACAAACATTGTGACATGCTTCGAGTGTATGTAATTCCACTAACGCCACAGGCAGCAGACGGCGGTACGTGGGGCTTTGTGCCACAGAGATGTTAACATTCACAACAGTACCTCCTGCCAGTGACTGCTATGGAAACACAGCAGTATGCCAATGATTTCACAAGAGCTCTTTAGGTCTGACTGTTCAGAAATAAGTAACACCCCCTCCAGTGGGCCAGCAGCAGGCCCTACCTCCTAGAGCAGGAGGCACCGGAAGGATCGGTTAGTTCAGTGAGCAGCTTTTGTTTGTAAAATACTGGAAAACTAAAAACTAAGAGAGAATAAAGCAGCATGAGGCTACTTTCAATATTACAACCAAGCTACTGGTTTACTTGAACATAACCCATCACAGTAGAGCTGGAGAGCAGCATAGGTTATGAGGCAGATAACCATTTTGTCTTCAAGTAGGTCTCCTGACTAAGAGCTATGGGAAAGTATGCTGCTTCATATAAAATGTTTTATTTCTACGTGATTATTCACGAGACAGAGTTGCTTTTAGTTCTACCTTCAATTTCCATGAGGGAACTTTTGAAGAAGGACAATTTGTCATCTTTCTAAGAAGACTACAGGACCACTAAAACTTCAGTTTGTGTCTTCATCACAGTGCTATGACTGGATCAGAAATTAGCAATTACCAGAAACTGTCACAGGCATTATTCCCTGCTTTCCAATCACTGGAAAGTGACTTCAGTTATGCATTCTGCTAAGAAACGCTGATATTCTGTGAGCCAAAAGAAGAAAGCAAAGTGGGCCATGACACTAAGAGGGAAAAAATCACAATAATGTTCACAACAGGAGAAAGCCAACTTCAAAAAAGGCTCAGGCAATGGTAAGTAAGGAAAGACTGTCATCATCACTTAGCATGCTAAGGTTTATGAGTTTACCTCACATACTTAACTAAAGTAGCAGGAAGCCGTGCCTCTCCAGTGATGGACACAGCATGAGTTTGCAGCACAGGATGACAACATGCTCATTTATAACGTGTGGCAACACTACCAAGAATTCTGATCTTAGGTAACACAAAGAGGCAGGAGGCTTGTGCCATGTGCAGAACATCCCGTTATTCCTTACAGATTTGACTCATGCAAAACTTAATGGGCCTTAAAATAACAAGAGTTATGCCCAACTATATTGAATTCCTACTGTTCCTGGCTGAAGGTGAGAAATGTGGATTGCAACAGAATCCACAAAATCCTTTAACTCCAAAAATGCATAAATGTAAAAAATAAATCCTTTTTCTGTCACCAAGATGGCTGGTTATGAGGGTTAGATTACCTGGTGAGCCCTCTAGGAACAAGAAGAAAAGAGAGGATATTGGCAAAAATAACAAGGACTGCAAACTGATGGTTTTTTTGTTTGTTTGTTTGTTTTTGTTTTGTTTTTTTGTAGCTAAAAGTAGCTCCAGAAGTCTGGAAAAGTCCCAAATGACCCAAATGACAGCACTGATCACATAACTCAGCTGAAGTGGTGGCACATTAACCACACCAAGCTGAGAACTTTAAGCTAATACAGTAGAGAAGTTTACTCAGTAAAATCCCATAATCAGCTGACAACATATACAGAAAGCAAATATAAAACCAACACAATCAGATCAAATTGATTCTGTCCAAGAAGAAGGTAAGAGTGTGGTGTGTTTTACGTGAGAACAAGGAAGAAATTAGAACAGAAAAAGCGTAACTTACGGAGAAAATGGAGAAGTATTTTGTATTTATCACCATAGCACTTAAAACATTTAAGAAAAGGGTGTATAATGGCAATATTGTAAATTAATTTTGGAGAAAGAGAGCCGAATACTGAGAAATGCTGTTACTGGAAGTGACACCGACTCACTAAGCTGAAATGTGTTCTATGCAATTACTGAAACTGTTCATCAGAAACACTGCAAGATGAGAGAAAAGACAGATGGTGCAATATGTATATGGTGCCAGTAACATGTGAAAATTAAAAGGATTTTATTGACTGATGTTTTTCCTGATACTCACTGAAATGTATAAATTGACATTCAGTAACTGATTTGAACATTCTCTGTGTTACACTGATTCTTGCAGCCACTTTGAAGAGAGAACATTATTTTCACTTACAGGATGTTCACATCATCGCAGACACTAAAAGTGTTGACATTTTCTAGTCTAAAAGTGAAATCAAAATAGAACTGGACATAATGGTACATTGCTCTATGCCAATCCTATTGACTCAACATGCGTCAGTTTCACACATTAATTCTTGAGTACCCACTGTACAGTTAGTGAAACACCTGATCAAGCATATGTCTGAAGTCATGACTGCTTATTAAATAAAACCCCTTTTCCTAGATTTTTGAGTTATACCTAGAGATAAATGTATTCCACTGAAGTTGATTCTCTGCAGGATGTTCAGACAATCACGTCATGTCAGTATCTCTTTGAAAGCAGTGGGTCAGACTTTTTTAAAAAGGCTCTAAATAATTTCACAAAATTAATTCCACGTGTTGATAGCTAGAAAAACACGTAGTTAGGTTTCAACAAGCTTCAACGTCCTTGCGAAACAGAATGCCCTATTCTCTGTAAGCTATCATGTGAGAGATAATATTACCCTCAATTAGTAACCGCCTATTCATAAATTTGGAGCTACTTTACTGATTTCAGCTCTGCTGGAAAGTTAGGTGAACTGCCTGAGGGTTTCAAAGCTCCTGATTTCAGAACATCCCCATATGTTTTTGCAATCTGCAGTCGTTATAAACGCTACACAAAGGCCACAGCAACTATAACCACTCCATTCTATTGCTGTTGTGAACACTGGGCATTTTCTATCCAGGAGGAGATATTAAATACCATACACCATAGTTAACCTGAGGAGTTTCTTTACGTTAACCAACCTTTTAGCTACGGTCCTGTATTTCTTTTTTTTCCTGGTACAATCCCAAGAGCAAAAGGTCATTAGGTTCTGAAGAAAAGAGGTCTCCTTTATAAGCTCAATACAGTACTTTTATATTTTTGACTATGATATACAATGTATACCATAAATTAATTAAGACAAATACTTGTCACTTTATCTATGTAGGCACAAATAAATCAATGACTTTACTGAAGTGGAGAAATCTTCAATGGTATCATGATTCTGGATTCCATTTCCTGAATAAGGGGCACTGAAAAAAAAAAAAGAAAAGAGAGAGGGTTTAATTTCACTACCAGAGACCATCAACAGCTCTGCATGCCCACTTCCAACAGATACTATTGTCTTCAAATTACCCCCCAGCCTGTGCATGCCAAATCACCAGTAACCACCAATAGTTCCATAACTGAAGCACAGTCATTTTGAGAAACCTGTGATTTTTTTCATGTAATTTGTCTGCTCCTTTGAAGCCAAAAGATATCTTACATTTTTTCTGCTATGTTTTCTGTGAAATAAAGCTCACAGGACTAAAATCTGACATTTTTAGCATACTTCTCTGAGTTCTGTAATGAAAGCTATCTTTGATCTGAGCGACCTCCAGGTATCAGTTCCAAAGTCTAATTTCCCATCTCAAAGGAAAGCATTTACTAAGGCTCCAGTACTTAAGTGAAATATTAGAGGTAACAATTTAATATACAGATACATTTTACTGTTAGCTTCCTAGATTGCTGGACACAACTTAAGCATTTACATAAACCTGCTCCTCTCCTGCAGAGGCATTTGAAATGAAAATTTACTGTAAACAATAGAATTTTTTTTTAGCAATTATGCAAGGCCTCCAAAGTTTGGACAATCAATTGCAAAACTCCCTTTACAGCTTAGTGAAATGTGACTCCTTAGAGCAGCAAAACTGAACACACACACATAACACAGAGACGCAAAACTTCTTATCATTGAACAACGTAATGAAGAATAAGAATAATGGCCTGCAGAAAGGTCTGCCTCCAGCATTCCAAAGGAGTTAATATGTTACCTGTGTAATAGACTAGCTCATCCCAGCCAGGTTTGTGCCACGCAGCATTCCTTATATCTTCTCTGGTCTGGAGATCTTTGTAAGCTGGCAAGAGACAACAGCGAGCACAAAGCTTGTAAGTAACTCCTTTTCCTTCTACGTATGTACAGCTACCTTAAAAGTATTCTCATGTGTTATTACAAGACTACAAATTGAGATGTTCTCCACAAAAAGGAACACTCAAACCAGTGCAAATAGAAGGAACTGGGGAAGAGAGCAAAATGTACTTTGCAAATGCTACACCATGTAAGTACTGCATGGTTGGAGTGTTTTGGGTGGTGGTGGGTAAACAGTCATCAGTGTTCTGTAAAGCATTCACCCCTGATCATGAGCATTTCTGTAAAAAACGGCCAACAAACCAACCTGTGTACTGATGGTAGTTTTTAAATGCAATAAAGGCTATCAGGGGCAGCATGAGGAAGCCTAAATGTGGCAGGGAGAAATGTCTTAAAATAGATAAGGGAGATAACGCAACAGAGTTCTACGTGGGTGGAGGGGATCACATTTCTAAAGCTGGAATACAATGTTCTGGATTGTCAAGATCTGAAGTTAATACTGCGTGTTTTCTAAAATAAACATTAGACAATCAGTTTCTTCAAGGCAAAATAATCCTAGAGTAGAAGGAACCTAAGCATCAGTAGAAATTAACAAGTGGAGTAAGCCACAATGTTGTACTGCTATAATGTAAATTTCTGCTTGACTTCCCTTCTTTTATGTGTTATGTGTGATGCTTCAAACTAAGCTGTAAAAATCTCACTTCAGCATAAACGGGGATGGAAAAAAGAGAGGGCAGGATCTGAGTTGTCATGCTTATATTATTGAAAGCAATCAAGTAGATAAGAAAAGCCCTTAAGAAACTTGACAGAAAGAAGACAAAACATAAAATGTTCAGTTCTGCTTGTTTCTTTCAAAAATAAAGTTGTCTATGCAAAAATACAGAAAATCAACATAGCTGATGTAAAAGAAAAAACTCGTTAAGGCATTCCTCCAACTTTTGTAACAACCTTGTCCCCTGGGCAAAGTCAACAGTCTGTTAGAGGCTGACTGAGAAAAAAGCCAGTTAAAATAAACACATTTACCCCAAAGGTGATGAACCATATACAGCTGTCCAATCTGTGAGAAAAATCCTCCAACTGCTTCGTTTTTATCTTGTCGGAAACGGATTGCACGGGCCCTACAGAAGAGAGGAGGAGTCTTTAAGTACAACAGACCTGGTAGCAAATGAATGATAACTGAAGAGAAAGCAGATGTGAACAGAGTCCCAAAAGTTAAACAGCATTTACTGCACACCTTCTCAATTCAAAATGAGGAAAAAAACCTAAGCCCGTTGATTTCTAGCACTAAGTAGTTAAAAGATGCCTACATCTTGTCAGAACGTCCTAAAATTTGAGGCCTGTGGTTTCATCAGACTGTGCATTAATCACCATTTTCAAGATTAGATCCATTAAACTGATAACTGCTTGTCCAGTATTCAGCTCTCAAACTAAAACCTTGCGCTTCTGTCCCCTTGCCTTTGTCACACCCATTCACCACGGATTTTCTGGTCACAGAATACAGTTTTTTGTCTCACGTGGATCTCTGTTTTGTGACAGTCCGTGATCTGTTGTGTGAACAAGATCAGTATCTTTTCAAATTATAAACCTGTTTCACCTTCTAAAACAGACTGGTACTATTGTAGACATGCCTATTATGTAAAAATTTGAAATTCAATTTAATGGTAAATTACTGTAATCAAATGAATTATGCCAATGACTATGGATAAACTAAAAATCCAAGTCCTCACCTCTGTCAAAATAATTGAAAATATTCCAAGTTAGTTAACTACCAATCACAAACTGCACGAACTTACTGAGTATGAACTGAAAGAAACTTACTGTCGAGTAAGTCAGAATTAGAAGCATACACTCAAGAGGACACTGTCTCAAATGTTTTTAACCTACACGCTACAATACAAATGTGCTGCTCCATAGGTTTTCAAGAAGCAACTTAGCTTTCAAAGATTGAAAGAGTCAAGACTTAGAATACCTGAAAGAAAAATAAGTCAATTTTTGCTGGTGCTGAAGTTGTGGAAGAAGAATGCGCTCTTAAGAAGTTAAAAGCATCCTTCAACGAGCAGTGCTTTCTACTCAAAATAAATTATTTCTTATTTCTACTATATGATATCTAACTAAAAGGCTTATGTGAAAGAAAACCAAACCACTCAGCCCACAGCACTGTTTGCATAAAGAATTCCTTTTCCTTTCCTCAAAGGATAAACTGAGGGTCAAAGAACTATTTTACAAGTTGCCCGAGAACAGAAGCAGACCATTAACTGGGTGCCTGAAATGCTTCAGTACCATTCTGTCACTTCCACTTCATAACTTTTAAACACACATCTCTCAAAGACAAAAACAAAAGTGCTAAGGCAGTACTTACCAGTAATTTCCCCACTCAATCATAGTTCCAGGCTACAAGAACAAAACAGACTGTTAAGATTGTAGCTTAAAGAAAACTGCAGTATTTTGACAGTACTCACAAAAAAAAAACCTGCAGTATTTTGATGGTACTCACATTTACATATGGGAAACACTAATAATGAAACCACTTCCTTTAAGTGATAAGCATATTATAATCATCTATAATTACTCAATTTACTTACTATATTAGTTCTTAGTCATTTTCCAGAAGTTTCCCTCAAATTAAAACACAAGATTTCCAGCCCTTCACAGGAGACATTAGCATCTCGTTGGAGCCTGCCTTCATTTTGGACCCCACACTTTGAGAGCAGCAGTGACTCAGCCATCAGCTTTGATAAGAACCAGGTTTTTAAGACAAGGCCTGTTTTCCATCCGCATCGTATAAACACTCTTTGAACATTTTATGACATCATATAGCTTAAAAAATAAAAAACCCTGAAACTTACCCTAAGTTGATAGGATCTCAGTTCATAAATATTCGGCCCCTCTCTGGGAACAGGTTCATTCCAGAAGCTGAATTCCAACAGTAATTGGTTCTTGCGAGACAGAAGCATGTTGCCTCTTTCTTTGCGAAACTCTGTGAACTCCTTAAAAACAATGTGGTCATTATCAAACTGTGTGTTATGTTTCAACAACAAAAAAACCCTACAGTGTGTCCCCTACAGTGGTTTAGATTTTTCAGTACTATACTGAGGTTTTGGACACTGAAATCCTTTAAACTGCAAAGGCATCCAAATTCCCCTGGCATCTTTGAAAACTTCAGCTTGCATTTTAATAGAGATCTGAGAATCAATAACATTAAGACTCAGTATTTCTGAATCTGGATCTCTTCCAATCTGCTTGCAATAAGCTTGCAGAGAAGGTGATCAGTAAAAGCAGGTGTCCAACTGTTTTGCTCTATTCTACGTTCTTTTCTTTAACCACCTGTAGCAAAACCCAAGATTTACCTTATTTTGACGGAGTTTACTCATGACCTCATTGAGAGCTGGATAGCCTCCCTCATACCTCCATAGGTGAACTGAAACAGAAGAAGGAAGTATTTTCATGGACGTTGTGAGCAAACAGCAAAACTCATGGAATATCACAGTACAAAATGCTTTTCATAGAGCAGAATTATACAATAACACAAGTCATGTAGCAGGTTTAAACAAGATTTTCATTAAAGTACTGCACATTTGAACACTTTAACAGAATCATCTGCTTTTTGCAAAGTGTTCTTTCAAAAACTGCACAGTTTAATCTGAAGAGGAAGATTTCTAAGAGGAGGTTTTGTTGCCATGCTAGTAAAGTGTGATGACTTTACATGACTGTAATTTAAAATGAGATTCAATTGAAGGGGTTGACTTTATTCATAAAGATCTTTTAAAACTATTTCATCTAAGAGCAAGGGAGTAGTAGACTTTTTAGTTCAGCAAGTTACTCAAGCAAAAGAGCATAAGAAACTTTCAGCAAGATGCCAAAAATTGATGCAAGTGTTATTTTTGTGGTAAACGTTAAATTAAAAAAGCATACCAGAATTTATCTAAATGTGCCACAATTGTTACATTTTTGTTAGGATTTTCCCCATTAAAACATCAAAATTTCAGAATAGGTATTTGCATTTGACAGTCTTTTCAAAGTATTCTCTCCTTAAAGAGGCTCTAATAAATCCTAACTAGATCTATTTACAAGCACTTAATAAAGCAAGGCAACAATAATTCAACTCAGAGAGTCAGAAAAGCAATTTGCTCTCCTATCCAGAAGTCCTGAGCCTTTTCCAGCAGAGTGAACTCAAGACTAATGTATAAAGCACTTCACTATGACAGCAGATTCATCCAGTATGCCTGCTTCTATTGCCTACTCCCCAGGGCAAATTTGATATATCCAGACAGTATTAACAAAGCCCCAGTACAAGTACTGAACAAGAAAAAAAGCCCATAATCTGCTTTATTATACTGCCAGAACTGTTGCAATAACACTTTCAAGCCAAGCTATGGATGCAATTATAGATATAGTCTGTGTTAATACATTACAAAAACAATGAATGAGATTTGGCTAAGCATTCTCATTTCAATTATTGCCCACTTTCCCTTCAACTTTTAAGAATTCTTTCGCAGATATTGTTTGGTTTATCTCCAGTCATTTCCTCACATTTGTGCAGTGTCAATATTCCAATGTGCCGTGAATGCAGGAAAAATTACTGGGTGTACTGAAACACTGAAACACAGAACAGCTTGGGTTGGAAGATCATCTAGTTCCAACCACCCTGCTGTGCACAGGGCTTCTTGGATAACAAAGCAGTGACAGTGACCCTAGCACAGCTCTAAGCACAGAGCTTCTACCACAAAACAAGCATTGGCACACCACTCTGTTTTGGTTTCCCACTCTTTCCTTTCCCCAGAGCCCAGGAAATTGTTCAGGTTTTCTTTCTGCACAAGTCTCTTTGCAGTTACCTCTGTAGCAGCTCTTCAGTGCTTTCTAGTTCAATGTATTTTCAATCTGCATTGTTAGGTGGTATCCTTATAAGAACATGAACAGAAAACCCCCAGTAAAGATTTAGATTATTGTGAGTTTACAATGCACTCCTTTTTTCAGATGGCATTATGATTTGCATTTCATTATCATATAGCAGTTGCAGTATGAAAGTCTGAGTAAAGCTTTTTATTTTTTTGGCTTATAAGCCAATGCAACTCTGTCTCTGAAAGCCTTTGGCTTAAGTATTCAGGAACACAATCCGTGCCTGCAAAATATTACAGGAGCAAATTTGACCAGGGTTTCTCCAATTGTTAATCTACCACCTGGAAAACAGGAAAGTATTAACGAGAGGACAAGCTTTAGGAATTAAAAGCTTCACTGTCAAACTCAACAAGACAAATAGCAAGCACTGCAAATGTTAATACGACTACTGATACCGATGCACACACATCCTCACTGTATACGTTGCTAAAGGTTTACTATCAACAGAGATGATTTAAAGAGAAGAAACCTGCCAAGCACACGTTTCACTTGTATGGTTTTACATTCTGTTGTACTTCTATCTCCTACCAGCCTGATCTTGCTCTCCGTACCACGTGTTCCAAGTCCCCACCAGTGCACATGGGTAGTGTTTTTCTTCATGAATCTTTGGCAGCACCTCTTGACTTGAAAACAAGGAATACAGACACTATGTTGCATTTCCTTCAGGGAGGCTACAGTTGATATGTATAACAAATCACCACACGTTTATCATTATGGTACGAAAATTCACAAGCTCTACGTTTCAGAAGAGAAAGCTGAAATACAAGAATCTGCTTTGCGAGGGGAAAGATAGCTACAGGTCTACATAAAAATAAGGTGAGTGCTACTATTTCTTACTGTATGACAAATGCACACCATGGTAGAACACTCTGGATGCAATGAATTACGTGATAACACCTGGGTTATCCAACACATTAGGGAAACAAACAGCAGGATGTCTCACAGGAAGCACAGCCTAGCTACACGGGTGATTTGCTTTAGGAAAACGTTTTCTTCATCAACACAATACACAACAGTAGAAAAGGACAGGCTTTCTTCTTTACCAGCAACAATGTTATTAATAAAAATTAATTAATTAAATTGATTAATAAAAACAAGTGTTTTGATTGACCAAATGAAGGCTGTGCTCAATACTATGCTGCCTTACTGCTTCCTCCAAGGCTTCAGAAAGCAGATCTAGTTTGAGGCAACTTATCAGTGAAGCACGTGATGAAACTGCCATGAAAACACGACTAACACCAAATTTCTGTTTGACTATTTTCAGTAAAGGCAGTGCTTCTTCAAACTTTAAAAGGTGACTTACATTAACATTGGGAAATTAAGTTTTCCTGACAGCTAACTTGGTTAAGTCAGCTTTCACTGCATGAACACTGATGAATGTCTATTGGGCTGGTTGAACTTTGCCTTTTAATATTTTCCCCTGAATAATTACTACTCTTACCCTGCAGCCAACAGGCAGTATTTCTGCAAGGTATCAAGTAATAGCAAGTAGGCTGGTCTTGTCCTGACACACAATCAGAATATGCAAGTCTTCCTCTTGGTTCTACCACTGACTTTCTTGATGACCCACAACAAACTTCATCACCAATTTATATTTCAGTATTTCTCATTACAGTGGAAATTATACAACAGAAAACTTTCCAGTGATGTTTGCAGTCACTATCAGTTTGGTTTTGCAAAGCATAACAAGATCCTAGAGAGGCAGCTTTAAGCAGGAACGTTAAATTATTACTACAGTAACCACTAAAGGTATTTTTCCAAAATATATTAAAAAAAGACACGGTATGATGTCATTCACAGACTTGAAAACCATCTTTTTCCTTTTAAAAATAACTTACAACTTCTTCAGAAGGAGATCCTTACCCACAGTGATTCATGAAGTGTTCTCCTAATTGCCTTCGTTATGTTCTTCCTTTATGAACACATGCTGACTAATCTTTCTAAGGAATTTGCTTGTTCATGCTTAATTTAGGGGGAGGAAGAAGGGAAGTTCAGAAGCGCCTTCATTTCTTAATTTCTGCCTTCTCAAGTTTCCTCCTTCCCTTCAATACTTCAACTATCCTTAGTTTGGAAAGAAGACATTTAACCCCACATACTTCATCTGGCTGCTATCAGCAGTTTCCTTCTTTGTTATCATTTCTTTCCTTGAGAATAAAAGCCTCTGCTTTCATGCTACATCTAGGTAGCTCACGCGATACACAGAGAAGTGGCTCTCTGCCTCATATAATTGGATGTGTTTATATTAAGCTTTTAAACAGAAAGAGGGCTGAATGCTAGTCATGCCTCTCTGTATATGTATTTTTTAGGTTAAAGTTTTAGGTTAAAGGTAAATATACCTTCTGTCATAAAGTAACTGTACAATAAGGAAAACAGGTTTGGGTTATCTAGACCCATTTCAAAGCTTAATATGGCTAAGTTAGACAATGTTGGACAAAGAACTCCTAACAGAGTTGAGGACATAAATGAGGAGGTGTGAACTTCCTTACTCTCCAGCCCAACTCATGTCCCAGTCAATCCACCACTGCTAAAACCTGGTACCTCTGTACTGAGAATGTTTTATTGCACTGACAACGTGATCAAGGACAGTGGGAAACCCTGCTGTTTCCAAACATGGGAGCTCTACTATATTTCCAATTTATACATTCAGTATTGGCATCATGTATGCAGGACAGGGCTAATATTTCTCTAATTTGGTTCCTGAATCAGTACATTTTAAACATTACTCTTCATGCATTTTAGAAAGCTGTGACTTTCTGGATAACTAATGAGAGCACTGCTCTCTCTGGAGGTTATCATCCCAACACACAGATCCTATCCAAAGCCTGCTTAGCTCTTTAAAGTACATCTCTCAGTAATGTAACTTTGTAGAAAGAAGACAGAGATGAACTGAGGAAGAATCAAATCATGCATTTTCAAAATCTCCTCCAAACTATACTTCAACACTGGCATGCAGCTTTACTTACCAGTGATCTCTCCCTTTCCTTCCTATATGAAGACAATAATACCTGCCAGCAAGTTCCTACATGGCAGGAGTTGGGGGGGCATACTAGCATGTAAGGATCTAATTGCTATTGTAAAGCTAAGGGTGGGAAGGAAGCTATTCCAACAAACTTCACCTGTGTTTGCACAAAAGGCATCACCCTGAACTGCAGATTAAGAAATGACACTTCCAAAAGGGAAAGTAAGGGGTGATCTGAGTCAAGTACCTTTTGCCATCTTTCTCCAAGAATAACAACATCTATTTACCATCATACCCTGAAAGCAAAAGCTGAATTCGTCCACCTCCCCACAAATATTTATTGCATTTGCCAATTTTTAGAATGCTTATGGTCAAATCAACATGTCTGAGATGTGAAAACATAACACGCACACTTACCAAAGCTTGTTGTAGGCCTCTAGGCATTCTGGTTTTACATTGTGAACTGAAACAACAACAGTAGATGAGAAATGCAGGAATGGAACAGAGAAACTGTAACGTTAAACATAAGAATAACACTCACTCTGTAGTTTATACAGACTGCTGGTCTCTCTTTTGGCTAGAAGGTTGGAGTGAGCATCTTTCCTTGGATCGACTTTGCGAACAAATAGCGATTTTAACCAACTGTCTTCACGAGGTCTGCTAGCTGAAGATACCATCCCCCTACATATCAACAAGTACATTACACTGTCACTGAGCACGTCTTGAAAATGCCCATAATGCAGGGAAGACGGGCACGATCAAGTATAATACAAACAAAATTAAAACAGTTACATCCAACTCTGCTCCTCAGTCTTTCCACTGAGCCACTTGGCAGCAAGGTAAAGGCAGCTCTTTTCACAGTGGGAAAAATTACCTCCTCACAAACCATTTTATGTGATACAGAGCTGAACACTTAACCATGCACTCTCTACTCTCATTCTTTGTAAGCAAATGGGTAAGAAATGGGTAGTTGGCTGCCTTTGTTGTCTTTTTATATTCTTTCTAATGAAGCATATTTACCCAATGTCTGTCTTGATGTATACAGGAGTGAAAAAGAGCAAGAAATAGCATAAGGAAAGATTTGTACAGTGTAAATAGGAAAGTAAGTGCCATATGTTCCTATGTTTGCTTAAATACAGCTCTGGAAAGGAAAAGTTAAGTGACACATCTATTGTATTTAACTGAACCTTTATGCCCCCAATCTTGAATGTTCTTTCTTCTTCCTCAAAAGAAGCACTTCCTTCACTTTACCCTTTTGATACAGAGTTTTTGCTGAAATACTGAACTATTTCTCTGAAATACTAAGAAAGTGGCAGCACATTTTCTATCTCAGAAGCCAACTTTATACCCTGCACCACTATGAGATCCAGATGACAGGTTTCGATCTTCAGGTACAAATCTCTCTTCCAGTATCAAAACTTCCTGACAATTCCTCAAAGAAAAAAAAAAAAAAGGAGAAGAAAATATCAACTTCTTTTGGTGGAAAAAAAATCTCAGAGAACACAGTTGTTTGTATTGCAGAAAAGCAATTCACACCAGCAGCACTCCTCAACAATCAGCATTTGAAAACTAATGAACTGGGATACCCTGTGGAAGCGGATGAACTGAGAAGTATTTTATAGCAGAGAAATAGTAAGTACCAAAACAACCACAGCCAAGACAATCTTCAATGCTAAGAAGTAATTGGTAAGTATTTTGTTTTATTTATTGAAGACGGTCCTTTATTTGACCTTAGAAAATCATACAAGCACATTCCTGCGCGGTCATTCCTGAGTACAAGCATTCAAAAGGGCATTCCATGATATAGCTGCTGCCAGAGGAGGGTGGTGCAGAAGAAGAGGTTTCACTGATCTCAACTGAGGGAGGAGAGAGGCACAGCACAGCTGTTTTATACCTGCACCAGGTGCCACAGGAAGGCACCATGCCCCACCTGAGGCCACGCTGGAGAGCCCACCCAATAAAGGCATGCTCTTTTAGAGCTCCTGTACAGTAAGCACTGTTACTCACTGGACACAAAACTGGGCTCCTGGGGGTGGGACTCCATTTCAGCCCTGCAGTGCTTGTTCTTTCATCTAAAGGGAGATCTGTGCAGTACTGACATATTCTCCTCCAATTACTAAATGCAATTAGCAAACTAATATTCAGAGCATTCTTCTGTGAGGAATGAAATAAGTACTTCAGATGTTTATGCAATCTTTTACTCAGGACTTGTAAAGTTCCTTGTCAACAATGACTAATAAATCACAACTAGCCATCTAAATGTTCACTTCACTTACAATAAAGAATGGTAACAGCTGAAATTGATTAAAACAGACACTCAGTGTGTCTCATCTGAGATGCTACAACCTTAATTTTCACCACCATTTCCCCTGAGATACACTACTGGTGTCCATCTGGACACCCACAAACCAAGATGCTCTGAGCTGACTGCCAGCTCACCTGCTTGGGCCACCTGTGCCCATGGTTGCCTTGAGAAGAGCCAGGGACTAAATGACAACTTGTTATAAGCATCAAAACTAATCCATCACCCAAAAGATCCACTTTTAAATAACATGCTCCACAGCATGATAAAATCTGTTTGAAGTAAAACATTGGATCCAAATTACCTGAATACCACTAATGAAATTACAAGTAAATGCACAGAATGAACATGTATGCACCATAGGGAATTACCACCACACTTCACAACTTTTTGTTTTCTGGGAATAATGCTCATTAAAGAGTTTTCATGTAACCTTTTAAGGCACTGCTTAACTCTGCTAGCAAATGCTTATTCTACAAATGTTATCTAAAGGCTCAGATTTCTTGCTACAAAGATTGGCCTGTGACCACAAGAGGAGAACGAGTAGCTTGGTCGTGTTAAATTAACAGTGCTGCTGAGGACATTTCCATCTGCCTTAACTTCTGTGTTAGCATACAGTATAAACTGGGTAGAGCGGAAGGTATCAGGTCAAATATTTAGATTCTGTAGTAATCAATGTCTGCCTGGAAGAGAAAGAAAAACAACTCGTCTGTAACGGACAGTTTTTAACTTGCGTTCTATACAGACGTCAAAGCCGAGAGAAGTTCAACCCGTGCACATCCAAAGCGTGCATCTGCTTCACAAAGCCGCCGGCAGCGCTGATCCCGCGGGCAGCGCCGCCCGTTCCAACCGTGAGGCAGCACCGCGCTCCGCCTCAGCCCGCAGCGCTCACTGACGACGCCCGCCGTGCACCGCGGGGCGGCGCCATGAAGCCCGGCCGCTGGGAGCGCTGAGCGCGGGCGGCGGCGCTGCGGGACGGCAGCCGGACCGGGGACGCACTGCCGCCCTGCCGACCGCGATTCCGACTCGCAATGGGGTGGACGTCCGCGATCCCCACCCCTGGGCGGACTCGGGGGCCGGCCTCAGTGCCCGTGACCTTGAGGGACGCCCCAGCGGCCGCGCTCCCCGCCCCGCGAAAGGCGGCGGGCCCGGCTCCGGCCCTTCAGCCGCGGCGCGAGAGGGGCGCCATTTCCAGGCGGGAGAGGGGATCTGCAATATGTTTGTGTGTGTCGGGAGGGGGATCCGCGAGTACGGGGCCGCTCCCTCTCTCGCCTCCCTCAGCCGCCCTCGGCCGCCCGCCTCCTCCCCCTCAGGGCTCACCTGAGGGCCAGGCCGCCGCCGGGCGGGATACGCGGCACGGCGCCCGCTCCCGCCGGGCTCCACCGCAGCAGCACTCGCGCCGCCATCTTGCTCCAGCCGCCTCCCTCCTGGGCCGGCGCTGTAGCGCCGCCGGCGGCCGAGGGGGGCGCAAACGGCGCGGGGGTCCTCCAGCCACGCCCCGGTGGCGGCCGCAGTATGCATGCGCGGAAGGCCGGCCCGGACCTCACCGCCCGCCGTGGCTTTCGGAGCGAGGCTGAAATCCCCCGAAGCGCCGGGTTGGGCTGAAGGGTTTGCCTTCCCGTGCTGGGGATGGATTTGCACGCTGTATATCCACCTGAGTACGAGTCGGAGCACGGATTTCCTTCCACTTAGATACGGGCTTTAATCAGCCAGCTGTAATTACTTATATATCAGCCATTTCTACAAGCAGATCAACCACAGAGACCTACAGCCCAAAGTCAGAAGCTGTATTCCTATCAGCTTCTATCTCCTGCTGGGAACTCACTGAGATTCATCTCTGCCAGACCTAAATACTCTTTGGACAGGCTACAAGAACTATGCTAAGCTACCCAAAGATAACATTCTCATTTTACTGCCATAATAAAGGCAAGTGGTTGAATTTCATCAGATATTATAAGTTAACACAGGAGTGGCAGGAGCAACTTACAGAGGAAATAAGGACACATGCAGGCAGCTCATTTTAAAGCTTCTACACTTCTTTTCAAAAGGTTTAATAGCATGTTAAGCCTACAAATCATAGAAGATCACCTGAAATACAGAACAATCAGAACAACCCCAGTTGTATTCTTGTCTCTCGGTACAAAAGAGTCATTCCAAGTGAGCAGCTGGCTTTGGAAAGTGTCAAGACTTTGGGCAGAACTACATGCAACAAAATGAAGCATTAACATTTAACTCACACTTTCCATATTTTCATTTGAGGCACCAAGTTTTCATCTGGAACATCTGTCCTTAGAAGCAACTATGCTTGCTACATATTTTGACTACAAATTTCATCAAAACATTTTAACATACAATTTCAGGGACCCAAACATCCCTGACAGAGATGAGCTAGAAAGCCCCCTTTAATTATTTTCTCCACTATTTGTCTGTTGAACAAACTTTAAGTTCCTGGAGTTTTTCACTTAGATAGGTGGTATCTGCCTCTGTCAGGTTTTCTGAATCTGACAGATTTTCAAGAAACCTGGTTCCTGCACAGGGCTTTCCTGTGATCGGATCTATGACATTTCCAACCTTGAAAACAATTTCAGCCAGTTCGTGTTTCACGTGTTTGCTCCTCCGCTCAGGCAAAGCTTTAAGAAGAACAATGTCACCAACAACACACTGCTGCAATGGATCATGGGCAAAATAGGTTTTCCTCTTGTTAAAGAACTGCGGAAGGAAAAAAAGGAAACTTTGGCATTAGGATTCCGAACAAAGCAAACTTTTACACCACCTATTTGTTCCAGTTTTCTCCACGTAAACGGAGAAAATACTAATTGTTCCCTGTTTGAAAAGCATCTACAAGTAAAAATGCTCTTATGGCACATCAACATATAGATTCAAACACTAAGCATGCTTACAATTATGTATGCAGAATAATGCCTGCAGAATCTATTGGAAAACTGACTAATTAAACATTAGTGTGAGCCCACAAATCTTACTTTTCCAACTCAGAAGTGCACTGACAAAGCACTTCAAAGAAACATTTAGCAGACAACGTGTATAGGAAGCATCCTGACAAAACACACTGCTTGTCATCCTCTGTACTCATCCTCACAGCCAAATCACTGCACAAGTCGTTTAGGGAACTGGCAGCATGAAGAATTATCAACAATTCCATGGGTCAAATTAATAAAACATTCCTCTGCACAGTACAAAAGTTATCTGGCAAGATAAGATAACCAGCTTTTACCTTTAGTAAGTAAGGATCTAGTACAAGCCTTGTCACTCTCACTTTGGCAGTTTTCTGCATTTTGGTTCCTATGACTTTCCCTACTATCCATTTTGCATGGACAGCTCCACGTGGTACAGACATTGTTTAGTTATGGTCATCCAGTGCCTGGCAACAAGCAAGCAGACATGTTATTTTAACACAAAAATAACCAGTTTCTGATCAACAGGAAAATCGTGATTTTAGTTCTAGACTGACAGCTTAATTAGATTTTGTGGGAAAAACAGGGCAGATACAAGCAGTTCAAAAAACTCTGTGGTACTCCCTCAGTCTTGTATTACATCATCAGAAGATGAAAACATGCCCACATTTACAGGGAGTTATTTCAGGATGGCAGTAATGCTGGAAGTAACTTTTAGGATGAGACCTTATCCCATAGGGTCAAAAAATTCCTCTGAATAACTCTATTTCATACATGAGAGAAAAATGCATACCCACTGAAATTAGTATGACTTCATACTCCAGCAGCTCACTTTGCTGGAATAGTCCGAGTGTATTCTGACCGGAGCTAACCCAAACACAGGAGCCTATAAACGCAGCTCACAAAGTCACTTACTTGGGTATATCACATGATTACCAGCCAAGCTCCTGGAACCTACAGTAATACACTTCTCAAAGCAAAAGGCATCATGCTGCGGGTGCTGCCTTACCTACAACAAGCACGATTAGCTGTTGAACTCATTTCTGCAAGCCACTGCACTTCCCAACCCTATTAGTTCTGCTTAAACAGGGCGTGCTTTCTGTATCACCCAAATTAGAGTCACAGGAAAAGCTGATGGTGAACATCAAGATGCTTGGGTCTATATGAAAATTGCTGAATGCTCCTTTTTCCACCTATGCACTGCTAAGCACTACCAACACCTGCTGAACCTTCCTTTTTAACACCACGCTCGCTCAGATATGCAAACCATTAAAAACAAAAGAATAAAGGAGCACATACACAGCACGAAACGCCTCACGCAGCACAGCACGGGGCTGCTTTTACCATCCTCCACTCGGCTGTACGGCCCAGGGGCCCGGAAAAGAGAAGCGTGAGGAGTCCTCCACCTGCAGAACAGTGCTAACTACCAGCACGCGGCCGCTGGGCGGGGAGAGGCAAGCAAGAAAGCAAGCATCTCTCACTCGCTGGGCTGCGAGGAGAACGGGAGGCAGCGCCGCAGAGAGGAGGAAAAAGACACAGAGAAGAGGAACGGACACAGAGACGGCCCTAGGGCCCCTCAGCCCTCCACAGGCCTGTCCGCCAGGCCCAGCCTCCCGTTCCCCGCTCACCGGTTAGCTCTGAACGCCCCACGCCCCGCCCGAGCCCCCCCACAACCGCCCGTCCAGCCCAGGCCCGCTCTCAGCCCGCCGCCCCCCGGCCCACTCGCTACCAGAGCCTTCGCGGCGCCGCCTCACCGGCCTTAAGAGAGCGGAGCCGGAAGGGGCGGGGCCTCGGCCGGAAAGGCCGCGCGGCGGGGGGCGGGGCGTCCCGGGGAGGAGTGGAAGGCGCAGGCGGTCCTCCTGGGGGGGGTGGATGTACCGCCTTTATGGGCGGCTCGTTCCCGTGCGCTATCGCTCATTTGGAGAATAAATTTTCATTACCCCATCCCTGGCGCAATGCGAGGCCATCGTCTCCTGTCGTTTTGCTGTTACCTGGGAGCAGAGGCTGATCCCACAACTTCCTTCTGGGGAGTTGTGGAGTGATGATGTCTCCCCTGAGATCCCTCCTCCAGACTGAACCATCCCAGATCCCTCAGCACCTCCTCGCAGCACTGAGCTCCAAGCCCTGCACAGCCCCGTTGCCCTTTGCTGGACATGCTCCATATCCCAAAGGTGGGGATTTTCCACCTCAATAAGTGAACCACCTGAATTGAAACCTGTACGGTTGTTGTTGGTTATGCCACTGTGTTAGAAATTCAGCTTAAATCTGTAAAATCAGTGGTTAATAAACACCCATTCTACAAACGTAACACTGGAAAAAGCTTGGCTGTGCCCTTATTTTGAGGCAATGTGCTCCTGGCAGCTCCTTGCCTACATGCAGGCTATCTTTCTATTTTTTTCCCGTTCTTTTAAGTCTTTATCACCTGCATTTGGGCTACTGCCCACTTCCCAGGCTTTGTTGTGCCATCCTCTGTCACCACTGGCAGAGGGCAGTGAACACGGCTGCTTTGTATGGCTGCAGGCTCTGAAATCACTGGATCCATTGCTGTCCAGGGAGTCATTTGGGAGTTTATTATAGTTCTTACAGTTGAGGCTCCTGGGCTGCTCCTGCTGGAATGCCTTATTGCTTGAATTACAGCGGAGCAGGGAGGAGTTTTGCTGGCACAGGCAGGAAATGGTTAAGAGCCCTTCGTATCACCTGGGAAAGCGATTCTTTGATTTTTCAGAGGGCGCTAACATGCTGCACTCCGTGGGAAACAAAGGGAAGGAGATCAGCTACAACAGTTGGTCCTGGATTTTATTTTCAGCGGCAGCGTGCGAGAGCTGGATATTGATTTCTGAGAAATAAGAGATTCTGGGTTAAATATTCTTTTCTTCGCTCAAAAAATGATCTGTGAAGTGGATCTGATTCCAACTGGTGCCTTGAGATAACTTCTTTCTGACTGAGAGGTAAGAACAATACTCACAGCACTGACCCATTTTAAAATAGGGAATTCTTAAGCTGTTCCATGGGCAGTGCAAGGAATGCACTCAGGAGTAAACAGCCGTAAGAAGCCCACAACACTTTCCATTTTCCTTTATGGTGTGTGTGCTCCGTTTGCTTGCATTCATTTCTGAGCTTAAGAACTAAGAGAACTCCAGTGAACAGGGCAACGTGCAACCGAGAGCTGCAGTAAATGCTTCAGCAATGACAGCAGAGTTTATCTGTGTTAATGTACTTTTGCACTTGATGCATCTTATGTCAGTTTCTCTTAAAATGCTTCCTGAGCCTTGTTTCTTTATACTCCATTGCATTCACAAGGGTTTTTGTTTCTCTGTATGGGCTTTGCTAGCAAAGGGTACAGCTGCTGCCCTGTTCATGTGCTGGACCCAGAAGGACGGACTGCTTCTGGGGATGAAACACTGGGATCCTACAGTTTCCATTAATTCTTAGCCTGTATACAGAGGGACTAACGGCTTCCCTTAAAAAGCAATACTGACTTCTTGTGTGTGCCCCAAAAGCATCTGTTTTCACTGAAGTTTGACTTACTACAATGTGTATACTTTAGGCAATCACTGAGAGCAAGTGCCATGTGAAGGGAAATACCCAATGGAGAGCCCTGTAGACTCTCCTTGTAAATTCAGAACTGAAAGGGAATAGTACTCTCACTCATGGCAAGGTTAATTGCAGCATGTTCATTGATGTATTTCTTACTGTTTCAGTAACACACGGAATTTGAGGATTTATTGAGCTTTTGGGGAATACTGGTTTCATTTGCTTTGTTTCTGCTTTCAGTGAATACAGGCAGTACTGGCTGATGCAGGGGTTATTTCCCATTTTGATAAGCTGTGTAGTACAGTGGTGTAACCCTGCAGCCTGTGAGTGCTGTGCTACAGATAAGCATCAGTCACTGCAAGAGTGGCCGTGCCAGTTATTCTGGCTATTGCTCACTGTTCCCAATTTCCTTCCCCCACGCTTTACGCAGGCACTGATTTCTTCCTGTGAAGAAAAGGGGGGACTGTAACCCAGTTAGATTGGTGGATGTCACCCCGACATGAAGAAAGGCAGCACTGGGACAATTTTTTTCCTGCAAATCATATTCCTCATCATTGTGTTCCTGTTCCTCTCATCAAGCAAAGCTTTTTATCATAGGTAGCTTCCATAGGAAGCTGTGGACTTTCAGTTTCAGAACTATCTGTTCCCAGATTCTGCCTGGACAGGAAACATTGACTTTTGGGCAACCCTATTACCCAACATTAACCCCTATTGGATTAATATTGCATTTGGGAAGCTACACCATGCTCTGCTCAATCCCATTTTGTTGCTCTGGATCTCAGGGTTGGGTGCCCCTGGCAGCAGTTGAAACAAATCACTACAACTCAGTGACAAAAATCAAGTCTTGAAAGAAATTATGCACAATTCACACTTACAAGCTGTGATAGTTAGCAAATACCTGGAGATGGTTGCACTTCAACAAAAGACCACAAACCCAGATCGCCCTATTTGGCACGATTTCTCTTATACAAAAGTTCTTCTAAAATCCTGACTGTTAAGTGTTTTTGCTTATGTTGGCAGTATCTGATGTTCACTTGCACTATTTAGTGTGAAAATCTTTTCTATTTCTTTAGCAGAACCATCAATTAAAATGCAGTTTACATATCTTGGGAAAATTCGATATTCAAAAATGTTTTTTCACTGAGTCAGAATGTACTTTTCCATGGAATAAAAACTCTGGAAAGGAAAGAAAGAAAAAAAGAAAAGCTATTGGAAACACTGAACAAATTATATTGTCATTTCAACCAGGTTATATAAGAACGAACAAACTTCAAAGTGAAGGGAACTGGTGGTTTTTTTTTTTTTTGTCGTATTTTGAGAAAATAAGTGCATTCTTCTGAAGCAGTTCAATTCTATCTGTTCAGCGTTTTCCATATGGAGCTCTTTGAGAATGTTCTGTACTGGCCTGAACTCCGAGTTCCTATTTCACTAAATTGGCTGTTTTACCTTACGTGCTAGAAATGAGTTATGAAGTTTCTTCTCTTTTTGTCTCCAGCCTTTGGGGTTTCTTCTTGGGTGAACAGAAGAAGGGTTTGTGTCCAATATTCCATACTGCTTTGCAGTTCTACTGCGTTAACTGCTATTCCAGTGGTGAAAATATTTGCATTAATCCTTCGGTTTTGAGGAAAACCAGACAAGAAAGAGCTTTGGAGTGGAACAGGTTAAAACAGCTGTGCTATTAGCTCTGCTGCAGCTTGCAGATTAGAGATCAAGTACTTGCTGGAGTAGTTACTGATGGTTTGGATGCTTCCACATGACGCCCTCCCTGTCAGTATTACTGCGGTCACATTACACCATACTCCTACAGTGACTTTGTGGTTTTAAAACATTCCTTTCCCTTTAATTGAAAGGACCTTCATTGCCAAGCAGAAGGACCTGAGCTCTGCTTAGCAGCACACGCTGAGATGTTGCTGGAATTATAGAGGTACTGCACTCAGAGTTGAGATTTGTTTTGCTCTCCTTGAAAGAAGCATTCCTCCAAGAGACGAGGGCTTACCCTGAGAATAAGGATTTGGTATTTTCCTGGATATCCTTCATAGGATAAGATAGGGGTTGGAGCTTCATGATCCTTGAGGTCCTTTCCAACCCAAGCCATTCTATGATAGGATCACGGAATCACAGAGGTCGGAAAAGACCTCCAAGATCAGCCACTCCAGCCCTCCCCTGTATGCCGATCCCTAAAGCACATCATCTTGTTCTGATGCATTTCGGTGTGGATCATCCTCTTCTAGCACTGTTGGCACCTTGCAGCAATTAATTAAGCCTATTATTCCTCATCCTAACCACTGTGGTCACAAAGAACAGACATGATCCTACCTCATGACATTTGTCCCTTCTCTGTACTAACCAATACTTTCCATTTTACTACAGATTATTTTCTAGCCCTCAAATCTCTACTTTGGGATCTCTCCCCAGTTATCCCATTATCTTTCTTGAACAGTGTTGCCCCAGACTGGACAGAAGACTTCAGCAGAAACTGTAACGGCCCCAGCTGGAGGGAGAGGACTCCCAAATTGATCTCAGTGGTGTCAGCAAGATGAATTTCCTCCGGATCTTGTCTTCTCCACTCTGAGTTGTCTCCAGTTCTTGCTCTCAATACTGGCAGACATCTGTTTGCTTTGGTACCTGAGTTATCCATTCTGTCCCTGCAAGTCAAAAAGAAAAGCTTCTATATCCAGTTTACCTCCTGTTTAGCTATTTTTGGACAAAGGGCACATGCAAAGTAAGTGGAAAACGCTCAGTGTGTTTGCAAGCCAATTTATAGCTCTGCAAAAGAAAAGGAAGGGACAAGGTATTTTATAAAATATTGGAGGGCACCAATGCAGCTTCTCAGTTTAAACCTAAGCCTTTATTTTGGAATTGCTTAAGGACAGATTGGAAGTCTGCCATGCTAGAATAGCCTTACACTGTAGGAAACCAGTAATGCCTCAGTCTCTTCCTGGCCCATATAATTCACAGGTACTAACTGGGTTGTGCGAGTCTGAGCTGTTAATTTTATAAAGCTTTTCTTTTTTTAAAGAAAAAAAAAAAAAAGATGAAAATTTTACAGGCTGACTTCTTGTGCTCACATAGAACCACCTGAGGACTGCACAGTGCTGATCCCCACTATTGTTTAACCCCAACTTTCAGCATATGGTTTGCCTGGTATCCACAAACCCCTCATGGCAATGGAAATTGCATGTTGCTTTTTATTTTTTTTTTTTTTTATGGTATGTAGTCAATTGCGTTTAGAATGTAAATTTTACGAAAGGATATTGCATAGGCTGCTTCAAAATTGAATTAATTTCACTTCAGAAGAAAAACTGCTGGAAAAATATTGTTCTAAATAGCTTTCATCATTGTGCATTTGTATGGCCAAGAGAAATTAGTAAATTCAGCTTAATTTCACTGCGTATATTTATTCCTGGTATTTGTATAATTTCAGGGATTTAGGATCTCGTAATGTGATGAAATTCAGTAGGTTGGTTGCCCAGAGAGTCATAAGTGATGGAAAAGCATTGAGTTGCATTTGATACAGTAAGGTTTTGCTGTATGCTGTAGCTCTATTTACAAGCAAAGCTTCCACTGAAGCATTTAATGTGAAGGCATGGTGGTACGTACAGCAAAGACCTTTGCTGAGGAAGATTTTTCTCACCCTCCTTTACCTATCTAGCCACGAAAATGTTACTGGAATTCCTAGCCCCTAATGCAGCAATGTTTGGTTGCAGGTGTGGCTGTCCTTGTAAACTGAAAAAAAATATGTCTATCCGAGGCCTGAAGAAGAAACAACCAAAGACTTTTAAAGTCAAGATTATAACGGTGGACGCTGAGATGGAGTTCAGCTGTGAGGTAAGAGTCCCCATGAGAAACTCTTCTAATCTCATTGTCGGCTGGAAGGAATTGTTTGTCCCAACTGAAACTAAGATGCTTCTATTCATTATGGCTCTCCAGTCAGTCGGGCAGCAGAAAGCACCACTGTAGAACAACATGGAAGAATCCGAAAGCAGCAAGTGTTCAGTTGATGGATGAGTTGGGCTGCACCAGATTCATTAATAAGATTAATTCCTAATATCCAACAAAAGTGAAAAATGTGCAGGTATTTAAAGAAGGGCTGTTAGAAAACTGATGTCTATTGGATCTGGCAATTCTAATGAGTTGAATGCCTTGTGGGGCATTTAGCATTTAGTTTATTAGGTCACTCAGACAAAGCACATAAATCACACGCAGTGTGTTTCTGTGAATTATGGATGTAGAATACTTGCAGACAGAATGGTGAAAATAAAGAATTTGGAAATCTTGGTTCAGAGCTCAGAGTCCTTGTTAACAAATCCAGCTTGATATATTCCTTCCTTTGCTCTCTTTCCTTTCTCTCCGAGTACTCCTTTCTTTTTGGGTTGATTCCCTGCTTTCCATCCAAATAGTGCCCAAAAGTTTATTTTTTTGCCATTAAGTTTAGTGACCGATGATGCGATGAGACAAAATCATCTTTTAATATGTGGCCAGATAGAAGAAACAGATGTGCATGCTCTTCAATGAAAAGTGAGATACTGTGATTAAATGTCCCAAAGTACACACACAAAGTTTGTTTTCTGTGTAGCTGGGGCAGTAAATTACTCTCATTCTGCATCTCCTCTATTAAGTTGCCTTTTTTTTTTTTTTTTTTTTTAATACCAGATTAAAAAACAATCCTGGCTAAACTAGGCATTAAGTCCTACCCCTAGAAGACAAGCTCCTGCTCATTTATGTCAGAGAAGCATAAAGGCTTGGCTCATTGCCACTGAAATAGCTGAGGTGTCTGAAAGATAGATTTGCTCTGATTGTTTGGCATTTCTGCTCTGTGCCCCTTTGATTTCCCCTGACCTACTCTCCAGACTCTCTCATTTGTCTAAAATGTAGAGTAAGATTTTTACAAATATTAATAAAACTTCACCACGTCCTCAGAGATCAGCAGTACAACCCTCATTCCCTCTGCTCATAAAGTACCCGATGCTGTGATTAAATGACTGCAGCTTTGAGCACTTGGAGGAAAGGAAGTAGAGCATTACAGCTATCATGCCTTTGCTGTAGGCAGTTTTAGGTGTGTTTCATCAGAAAGCTAAAGGTGTGATAACATTTCTTGGGAGAAAAAACAAATAATAACCTGGTTTGCCTGCCTAAAAGACAGCAAGATCATTCAAGATGAATCTATTTTGCTTAATTTCCTTTTTCTCTTCCAGATGAAGTGGAAGGGGAAGGATTTGTTTGACCTGGTGTGCCGAGCGCTTGGCTTAAGGGAGACTTGGTTCTTCGGCTTGCAGTACACAATGAAGGGAATGTGCACCTGGTTAAAGATGGACAAAAAGGTATACAACACAGGAATGGTAACCTAGCCATCTTCTGCTCTTGAAGGACTTCTTTGTCTTTCTTTTTTTTTTTTTTTTTTTTTAAGCTCAAGACCTAAAGGAACGGGTTAAGTGACAACCCATAATTCTGGATGATTTATGGCTTTAGGACTGAATCTCATAGTGTTAATCAGTCTATTTGTACACAGTTTGGTCTGAAGTGTCACCCACCAATCACCACCACATGCCCTTACTGTTAATGCATTACTTCGTTGCCTGCCCTTCTGAACTATGAACAGGTCGCATTAGCCACACTACAGACCAAAATCAGAAACCAGATAATGTTATTCTGAAATGTCTCTGTGCTATTTTCACTGCTGATTTTTTATCTTTAAACAGGTTTTAGATCAAGAAATCCCTAAAGAAGACCCCATTAGCTTTCATTTTTTGGCTAAATTCTACCCAGAGAAGGTAGAAGAGGAGCTGTTACAGGAAATTACCCAGCATTTGTTCTTTCTTCAGGTCAGGAATGTTTTTGAACCTTGAAATCCTTCTATGTTCATCCTAGTCCCTTTGTATTTGATTTTGTTGGCTGCTCTTAATCTCAGAATGACTCTGCTGGTTTCAGTTGTATCATTGTCCCTGTAAATACCTCATTTTTATGAAATACAAACATCCCTCCTAGACACTATGGTCTCACATTCTGGTAAGCTGAGTGTTTGACTTTTGCAAGGGTTTTGTTCTCATAATGGCTTCTTACTGTTTGTGCTAGAGAATGGGAGTTAAATTACAGGGACCTACAGTTTTGTGTAAACAACTTTTCATACTGCAATAGGATGGAAAGTACCACAATAATAGTGGGGTAGCAAAGTCTTTGGCTACTGCAAATGAGAACAAATCCAAACACAGCAGCCACAGATACAGAAATGAAGGAAAAGAACTGCTTACCTTTAGAATCCCTTAGATATACAGGAATCTCCACCAAGAGCACCTCACCAACCCTTAAATGAGATCTGGGAAGGGGTGGATCTTGGCTCCATGCCTTTTAGTCACTCAGGTACATGGCTTGCACCTGAGCCCCCCTGAGTTGGCTCTGCCTTCATACCAGCTGCTCAATCACTGGTTCAGCAACTTTGGTGCCAATTCCACATCTGGATACTTCAGACTTGTTTAACTTCTAGTAGTCTTTATTAAAAATAGGAAACAGTTCATTCTAGGCTGGACTGCCTGGAGGACTTTGTTTTTGAAGCTAATGGAGAGAAGGCTGCAAAACCAAACATTTTGGAGATGTTTATTCTGTACGCTGATAAGGTTTCAGATGGGAATAAATAAATAAATAAATGAAATAAAAACAGATCAGTTATGTAAATTAGTTATGTAAATTAGTGACCACAGATTTTTTACCAGACTTCCTACGCTTACAGAGTACTGCCCCCAGTTGTCAGTCTGGGACTGAATTTCTCCAGGTTTGCCCAAAGAGCTGTGGGTTCCCCATCCCTGGAGATGCACAAGGTCCGGTTCGATGGGGTCCTGGGCATCCTGATCTGCTGGGGGGCAACGAGCCCATGACTGGGGTTGGGACTTGATGGGCTTTAAGATCCCTTCCAACTCAAGCCATTCTGTGTTAAGGTGTATCCCCTAACTGGTCAGTGGTGATTTAGTATCAGGTGAAACCCTCCTTTTTATCGGCTTTAAGAGTTGTTTTCAGGCCTGCATCAACTGGACTCCTCTGGCTGCAGCTAATGTTGGATGAAGAGAGTCTTGAAAGCTTGTCGTAGTCCTCCTAGATCTGCTTAAGTCTTAAGTAACCATTCCCTAACCTAGTTCTTTCACAACAAGAAGATCTAGAAAAGATCTGCTATTAACTGTATGAACCTATGGAGTGCCTACACAAGCAATTGTGATGGCAGTTGTGAAGGTGAGGAAGAGGGAAGGAATAGTGATAAGTAGTAAGGGACATTAAGGCTTTTTTACCTGTATCAACTGCAGATGGAACAAGACTCATGACTGCAATTTATCCCTGGAACTAAAACTCCCAAGCTCCTAAAAGCAACCCAAGTGGTTCTGGGAGGTCTTGTTGTATAAGACTATAGAAGGCATAATCACTAGAAAACAAGAACCTCGTAACCTGTCCTTTGTAAGTACCATGGTAGGTTTTGCAAAATTAAAAAATTCCATGGAACAGAAGCCATCAGAAATAATAACAGTAACCCCATGCATGCATTGATGCTCACAGCCTTGCACAGGCAGCTTTCCTGTTTGCTACTGGCATTTCTTTTATCCCAGAAATTCAGTGTTCTATGACCTCCATAAAAAGTAGTTATCTATAGAAATAAAGTAAATAAACAATTCAAAAAATAAAAATAAAGGTGCATCAGCCTAGAAGAGGGAAGCCATGCTGTGGCTAAAGAGCAGTAACCTCAGTTACCTGCAGCTGTAACAGTAGGCGTACAGGCACTGAGGTTTGGATGGTCACTTGCTTTTTGCCCCAACATCTGTGCCTTCCAGCTTCTCTTCTGAATTTCTGAATTTTCTGGCTCTTGCAGCCTTCTACTGTGTTGCTTTGTTCTGGTATCTGTCAGCAGTATGTGTCTGTGCAAGTAGATTGGACTATGGAATAAAGTCAGTCTGCATCTGTAAATAAACAGTGTAGTACACTGGTTCCCTGAGGAGGATGTGCTAGCGAAGTGATGGGGAAATACTGTTAATCCAGGGGTTAATACAGTAATTAAAACTTCATCTAGAACCCTTAACCATTCAGGGATTTGTTTTTTAAGCCAAGTTTGGAAAGGAATGAGAGGGGCAGAACACTTTTCCTAGGCTTTTAATCCTGATTTCACTTTTCTCTCCTTGAACCTGCCTCGACTAGCAGATGTATAATTAGCAAATTCTTCTCATTCCGAAGTAGAAAAACAAGACAGGAACAAATTGAAACTTGCAAAGTTTCCTGACTGTAAGAACTTCAGATCACACCTGGATGCTAACAGGAGGACATGTACTGACATCTGGATGCCTACAGATTGCAATCCTCCTGTTTCAGATTTTGCATATTCATATAGCATAATGTCTTTTTGTCAAGGCTGTGAATAAATGTAAATCTCTAAAGCTAAGTTTTCTTTAACAGTTGGATAATTTGCTCCTTTTGCAAAGAGGTTGTACTTATAGAATTGATTAAAACCAACAACAAAACGACCCAAAACCAAACCAAAGACCTCCAGACGGTTGCAGGGTGTTTGTCTCAAGTCGTTCTCAATTCTGAAAAGTATTATTTGCACCATGGAATATGAATGCTGGAGCTTTCCAATTTGGAAGAGAAGTGTTTTCATTCTTTCCATTTTAACAGCTTTGAAAGAATTTTCCCTCTGCTATAACTCAGGTTCATATATTGTGCTTACCAGAGACTGAATATAAAGAAAAACCTTCTTGATGGTTCATTTCAGTTCACGGTACCTCCAGTTCCTAAATGTGTCTGTAAAGGCAACTCGGTGCTATCTCGAGTAATTTTTCTTCTTTAGAAATGTATAAGACTGCGCATTATGCAAAATTTTCTTATCTTTGTGCTTGTTAATGGGCCAAGGATGTTATATCTGAGAGGCGGATTTGCGAAGATTAATTTCTTCTTCCTCCTTTGGGTTTCCAGGTAGAATTACCTGATGGATTTAAAATCAAGCAACCTTGTATGAACTGTTACCTCTGATTATGCTGGCACCATAGATTACTTACACAAAAAGAAAGCTAACAGACTCTCTACTGCTTATACTGCTTTTATTTATAAGCCCTGTGTTTATGTTGTGCATAGACCGCTGTAATTGAATAAATCGAATGTGCTGTGAGGCAGTTTTCCCTTTGTGGGGTGTCCTTTATTCCGTCCTTCTGGGAAGCTTGGAAAGATCCTCTTAATGCTTTTCAGTATAATGCATCTGTTGCCACTCAAAATGCAGCTGGACACAGCCCTTAGCTGTGACACAGTCCCATTTGGTTGGACCTGCCTGGGCCAGGTGACATCCAGAGGTCCCTTCTGACCTAAAACTTGGATATTTTTTGCGTTGCAAAGGTGCTTTTTATGTGTTTTGTAGCAAAGCTACTCTTTTGTGCTTATGATTATGTAGCCCTTTGATGCTCTTTTAGATGGCAAGTCAAATCACTATTTGGTATAGCACATTTAGTGGGATGGTTTTAATATCTGAGTAGCTTCTGTATCATTGCTCAGTGCTGAAGGTAAAATCGTTACAGCTTCATTCTGGGTAATGAGTTGGTAATAAAAGGGAGCATGAGAAAGGTCCACAGTTCTACCTGTATGGAGAATCTAAAGCAAAAAGCTTAATGACATGAGACCTAAAATATCCTCCACCAATTTATGAGAAAGGCTCACTCTAAATTGAGCAATGTGATTGAAAATATAACAGTTCATAGAATCATTGAATATCCTGAGTTGGAAGGGCCTCCCTGCATTAATGTGGGAGATAGCCCACTACATTGCTGTGAACTTGGAATTAAGACATTCAACTTCGTAAAGGTCTTAAATATGTATGTATATATATCTATATATAATGTAATGCTAAGGTTTCCTATGTTTCTGAATGTCACTTTATTGTTGCTGTTATCTCGTAATGGTGATAGCTGGTGCCAAGTTACAGTCTGGGCATGTCTGACTTCATGTCAGCCTGACGTAAGCCCTGACTTTGAGCTGCTTCTTTAACTTGCTCCTATTTTTTCCCCAATTTAGGTTAAGAAACAGATACTGGATGAGGAAATCTATTGTTCTCCAGAGGCAACAGTTTTACTGGCTTCTTATGCTGTTCAAGCCAAGGTTTGTGCATAGCATTGCTCATATTTTAGCCAAACACATATAGACTGTGATACATAAAATACTCAAGTGCTAAACTTTGCTGTTAAATTGGGTCATGCTGGGAGGCACAGCTGCTGCTGGGAAAAAAAGCATTAGATACCATTAGATTACCATTACAAGGGTTTGGAGAAGAAATTAGTTTGCTGTTTTATGCTATGCTTTCATAGTTTTCTGGGATTTCTTTGCATCTAGCATTTTAATATAATTTTTCTCCCAGTTGGAGTTATTCCCTGTTATAAAAATGTCCATGGATTCAGAGGTGCTGTGCAGTGGCAGGGCAGTATTCTTTAGCATCTTTCAGAGCATGGTTACCTTTGTGCCACCAAGAGCCCATGGTTCAGATGAGGGGAGCCTGTTTTCTTGTCCTCACACTGTATGGGACAACCAAACCAAACTTTGTGTCATCAAACTGCAGCCATCAAATTCTTCAGCATTCTGTACCTAACAAACTGAAGTGTCTTTTTTCTTTTCCCTTGGGACAGTATGGTGACTACGACCCAAACTTTCACGAGCCAGGCTTTCTTGCCCATGATGAACTTCTACCCAAAAGGGTAAGTCTGTATTATGTACAGAACCAAAATCTGCATCTCCCCTTTGGGTGCAGCTTTGGGTCTAACTAGAGCAATAGGAACTGATTGTTTGCCTTGCATGTGGTGAAGTGGCTGAGCTGTGAACTCACTGCTGCATTCACAGCGCCTGGGAGAGGCAGCACACGTATTTGTGTCTTCAAATGAAATCTGCCTCCTTCCTTCCTCTGTAGGTCCTCAGGCAGTATCAGCTGACAGCAGAGATGTGGGAAGAAAAGATTACTGCTTGGTATGCTGAGCATAGGGGTATTGCCAGGTATGAAATAATTTCATTTTTTGGAAATCCTGTATTGATCAGTAACCACTTCTTTGCGGCCTTCGGTGAAATTTGGTGTTTGTAACTGAGCAAAGAGATACGGGGTTGCAGGCTATGCTGCTAGGAGCTTTGCTTCTTAAGAAAGGGGAAAAAAATCCATTCCCCCAGGGTAGAAGTATCATTGCACATAGGGCACCATGTGCTTGTAAACTGGACTAGCTTTGAAGTTGAGAGCTTTCGCGGAGCTTCACAACCTAAGAGTCTAAAATCTGATGTATTTTATACCCTGTAAAATAAATAATAACAATGATAAAAATCATGGTTCAAAAAGCTGTCAGCGTACTTAGGAGGATACCACAGCACCACGGGCATCAGTTCCAGGACTGAATTTTGGTGCTACTCCATGTGGATGTTCAGCTGCTTCTAACACATTCAGAGTACCTGGAAATTCAATTAAACATGAGGTGGGAGCTGCTGGCACCAGAGCCAGCCTGTCCTGTGATTTCAGTTCAGTTTTTTATTGGCTCTCCTATGTTAGCACTATCTTTCCCGAATATTTTCCTCAAGACTTGATGCCTCAGTTTGGAGGGAGAACAACAGTGAGTGGAGAGGCTTAGCTCCTTTGGACTCAGCCCAAAGCACTGTTTAGAATTTCTCAACCAGCTTTGCTTCCCAAAGGGAATATAAGGAAAATAGCAGTAGAGGATGTCTCCAAGAAGTGATGATGCTGGAGTGGCAAAATTAACCCACAAGGACAAGACTGGACTTGAATTTTAGTAAAGATCGCACTATATGTGACTCATATCAAAATAGATACAGCTTTGTCTTCTTTAGAGATGGTGTTTTTATATTCCCTTTTCTGTTGAGAGTAAGACAGTGAAATTAAAGAAAGTACAAAGGTCTAGAATGGCTGTTCTTTTTGAAGTGGGAAATATACTGTCAGTTAGGACAGAGAGATTGGACACAAGTGTAATCATCACCTTATTCTCTAGGGATGAAGCTGAGATGAACTACCTGAAAATTGCCCAAGACTTGGAAATGTATGGTGTCAATTATTTTCCCATTGCTGTAAGTGCTGTATTTGAGCAGTTTGCAATTGCTGCAGGTGATGGTAGTGCTGTTCTAAAATCCTTCAGGGTGTCTGGAGCTGGCATTCCTGAGTTCTGCTGTTCTCTGCTGTATGGAGGCTCTGTAGCGACTGTCCTCTTTTGGTTTGCTTTGGTTTGCTTGCCTGCTGATAGAGTAGGTGGATACAACAGCAAAGGTTCTGCTCTGTGATTGCACTAAGTTCTTGAATGGCTCTGGGTATGTAATGGGAAGAAGGAGAAATAAACGAGAAGTTTGAGCTGCTTTATTGAATTGGATTTGTTGGCTAAAAGTAGCAGCATTCATCGTCTGTATTGTAGAAACAGTCATTTCATAAAAATAAAAATAAATATGGGTGTATTAGAAACGCGTGGCTCGTGTCTGTGGTTGTTAATGTCACCAGAAGGAGTGCTTATTAGTATCTGTTGTTTTTCAGCAAAATAAAAACCATACCGATCTCCTGCTCGGAGTTGATGCCAAAGGTATTCATATCTACAGCATTAATAACAGGTTCTCTCCAAATAAATCGTTTGAGTGGAGTGCTATCAGAAACATTTCCTATAGTGAGAAGGAGGTAGGCTGGATCTGATATATTATTCTTTTAATATGGGCGAGGGTGTGGACTGGGATTCTTGGAACAGGCTGAAAGCAGTCTCTGTTTAAATAATTTGGGGGAGGGGGAAAATCCTAGGGAGCTCTGTTACGAAAACTAACTTGTCCTTCTGATGTGCTGCGTAATCTTGGCTCCCCTGAGAGCCCAGGGCTGCTCTCAGCTCTCCAGAGAGAGCCCACTTTTCTGGTTCCTTCCCTGCTGCTTGTCCTTTGCAAAACAAGTTGGTCTCCATAAAAGATAGATATTATGAACGTCAACCGTGGCTGAGTTCAGTTATCTCAGCAGGGATTAGATGATCCATAAAGACTTAATGCCATTTTTGCATGCTGAAGTTATCCCTGCAAATGAGGTCTGAAGCACACTGGCAAGCGGAGGCATGCAGGGAGATGTACACGTTTCTCTGCCTGAATTTTTCCAGTTTATCAGTGCATGGTTTCAGCCTTCAGCACTGCCCTTCCAATCCAATTCCACTGAGATTTCGGAGCCCATCTTCTACTTGTAGAAAGCATGGTGGGAAATGGGTGAAATTTGGAGTTCTTTCAAACCGTGTGGCTACATGAAAGGCTGTAATCAGAAAAACAAAACCCGAAAATCACATCAGCACCAGCATACCTGGAATTTGTCAGCCAAAGGACAGCATGGTCTTTTCCTTTCTTTCTTTGGGCCTCCTGAAAAACAAAAACAACAACTCAAAAAACAGGATGAGATCTGCTGCCTGGACTGACACGTGCATACAACAGGCAGGGCAGCCTACAGGAGGGCTCTATCTCTGAAGAATTTCATTTCCTTGACTTCAAATTTCCCCTCTGGTCTGTGAATAACTTCTTATTGTTGGAGAATTGGGCAGCTCTCTATTAAAGCTCTGCTTTATTTGTTCACAGCCTTGCTCCTTGCGAGGCAGAGCACTCCATCAGTTGTTACCTGCAGGCTGAAATGAGCTGTAGTACGTTAAGATCTTGGTGACTCAGAGGGCTTGAAATTATACGCTGCATTGCAAATGAATTACAGGAATAGAGTGCTAACTCATGAGTCACAGAGAGAAGGATCTTAACGAATGGGGCTGTTTTTTATTATGCAGCCAAACCCAGCGCAGCATGTAAAGTAAAACAGTGCATACTGACCTGGCGGCATGAAAACCTTTTATCTCTTCTGGAAACAGCCTGGGAGATAGCAGTGAAAATGTGAGAAGGCAGGAGCTCTAGTAGTGCTATCTCATGGTCAGAAGAACAAATCCTTCAGGCTTTTGTGATATGTTTCGTTTGCACCTGAAATGGTTTGGGATTCAGATTGGGGTTTGACATCTGCCTTACTTTACACCCAGGAGTCAGATTCCTAGCAATGCATTCTGTTTTTCCTGTTAGCCAGTGCGTGTTCCAGTGTTCTCAGTACAGTTTGCAAGGCACAGGTGGTACTATTATGAAAAATATCATCCAAACTGGCATCAGATGTGGCTCTGTGGGAGGCTTTATCTTCCAAAATGGCCTGTATAAAGAGAGCAGCCCTGGTTCTGATTCTTGTGAGCAAAGCACTTGGAATCACTCTCCCTGTGTTTGTGGCATAAATCGCTGCTTCCCTGGAGAGAAATGGAGATGGGCAAAAGTTTGCATAAGTATTAATAGCTTCAGCTTTGTTTTTCCTCCTTTTCACTGCTTCCTCTCATTTTTTTCCCCTTCTATCTGAACAGTTAACCATTAAACCTCTTGACAAAAAAGCAGAAGTCTTCAAGTTCTTTTCCTCTCAGCTCAAGGTAAACAAATTGGTAAGTGTCCTGTTTTCCTCCTCTAAAACTGGGCTGGCAATACTGAGCTGTAAACCTGTGCAAAGGCCAGGGAGCATTGAATTTCAGCACATGTTTTCCATAGGATTCTTTTGTCTGGGAAGGCAGGGTGTGTACGGTTGTCTTCTCTCCGTGTTGGCAGAGATGTTGGGTGAAAAGTGAGATGCGAAGGAAGCCCCAAATTGCAAAGGGAAATGCAGGTACAGGAAGGGGAGGTGTAGTACATGTGGCACTGAGGGATGTTGTTAGTGGGCATGGTGGGGATGGAGTGATGGTTGGACTTGATGATCTTAGAGGTCTTTTCCAACCTTTATGGTTTTATGAAAGGGGCAAATCCACTGCGGCATCAGCCTATCTGACTCCTGGTGGGTACTTGATTGACTTCTGCGTCTATATTTCTGAGAGAAGCAACAAGGAGAGGGTCCTAATCAGCTGGTTCATTCTGTCATCCCTGGCTGCTTCCTAGCACAGCCAGAGTGGCTGGACCATTTCTCACTGAGCTTGTGGAGCTGCCACCACAGGTGACCGTTCCCACACAACTATCTCTTGGCCTGGACCCACTGCCTGTTCTTTTTCAGGAAACTGAAACCAGACAGCGATGAGGGATGGAAAGAGAGCCCCTCAAGCTGTTATGAACTTTTCTAAACTATTACAAATCTGGGTATCAGCCTGCCCTGGATGTCACTTTCTTTGGAAGGGAAGCATCAGCCAGCTCTTGTGCTGGAGTGAGAAATGTCAGTTTCTGACCTGTCATGCTGCTGTGAGGTTCTTTTTCCCTCTGGATGGGGTACAGTTATGTCACAATCACATCTTCTTTTCTTTTTGATCCAGATTCTGCAGTTGTGCATTGGAAACCACGACCTATTTATGAGGAGAAGAAAAGTGGATTCAATAGAAATTCAGCAAATGAAAGCACAAGCCAGGGAAGAAAAGGCCAGAAAAAAGGTACATTTTCTGCTCCTCTGTTACTGAAGATGCTGATTATTATTCCAGCTGGTGCCCTTGCTGTCCATACATTGCTTCAATGTGTGTGTAGGAGGTGAAAAAACACAGAAGAATTAAGTGTGGGAACAGCTCTGTGTGTGTATGCAGCATCTGAAGATGTAAGTGATGTTTGTGAAACCAAATAGGTGATCAGAAAGATTTGGGGACACAGCAGATCAATCCAAGCATTCTCTCAGCAGTCTGCAATAACTGGTGTTACCAGTTAGTGGAGTTCATTTCTGCTGAAAGTGTAAGTAGCTTCAGCACGGCATCCCTGCTGAATGTCAGCTCACCAGCTTGAGAGCAGTCCGTCCTCCGTTAGATTAGTTTCTTATGCTGCCTCAGCCCCAGATGCGACTCTGCTGCAAACCCACAAATGTGGTATTTCTCTTTCCAGATGGAGAATCAAAGGCTGGCCAGAGAGAAGCAGCTCCGAGAAGAAGCTGAGCGAGCCAAAGAAGAGCTGGAAAGGCGACTTTTCCAGCTGGAAGACGAAGCCAGGCAAGCCAATGAGGCCCTGGTGAGTAGCACGCCAGCTGAATATTCCTGTGCTTGAAGGGCTTTCTTGGTTTGGGAGCTCTTTTCTTTTCTAGAAGTTGTGGCTTACACAAAGCTGGAGAGTTCCTGAAGTAAGTAACGTTGTGGTGCATGTTGCATTTGGCATTGACAGCTGGAGGGATCAACTTCTGTCAGTTTTTGGTTGATGTCTCTGTCCATCTCAGAACAACAGTCTCTTTGCTGTTAGAGACGAGAGGCAGGACAGAAGATAAGAGATTCTAGAGCAGTGGAGTAATACCAAACCCTTCAACTGTTTTTACTTTAAGGATTAACATTTTTATCCCTTGACCTGTTGACAAAAACATCTTCTTCCTGATTGACTTCAAGGATGAAATTGAAGATGCTAGGCAAGGTAACTACAACAAATTGTTTCCTCTTAGCTTCGATCCCAGGAAGCTGCAGAGCTGCTGGCTGAGAAAGCTCAGATTGCAGAAGAAGAGGCGAAACTGCTGGCCCAGAATGCTGCAGAAGCAGAGCAAGAGCGACAGAGGTTGGAGATAACAGCTCTGAAAACCAAGGAGGAGAAACGGCTGATGGAGCAAAAGATGCGAGAGGCAGAATTGATAGCAGTGAAGCTGGTGAAGGAGTCTGACCGGAGGTTAGATCTGCTTGAGCTGGGATTGTGTGGCCCCTCCTGAGTTGCTTAAATGGAGAGAATGCTATTTTAGTCAAATCAGGAGTGTGGGGGTGAGAGCAGGGAGGGACTTTTCCCAAGGTCTGTTGTGCTCTGTCTCTATACTGAAAATCACCAACGATTCATGTCAGAATACTTGTTTTGCAGAGCCAAGGAAGCGGAGCATCTGAAACAAGATCTACATGAAGCCAGAGAAGCAGAGAGGAAAGCAAAGCAAAAACTCTTTGACATAACCAGGCTCAATTATCCTGTAAGTTTCTGTTCTGGGCACCACTTCATCTTGGGAGATAATCAGATATTGATTGCATGTTTGTAGCCTCACCAAAGTAGGTTGTGTCATATTCCATATAGCTGTGGGACAAACACCTACAGGACCAGTTGCTGATTGAACACAGTGTAGCTGCAATTGAAGTTAAATTTGTTCAGTGCATTGAGCCTGGAAGTTAAAGATGAGACAAATATTAAAAAGCAAAACCACCACCACCAAAAACTGAACCAACCAAAACCAAAACCAGTTATTAACAACCAGGTGTTGTTTGTAACTGGGGAGCAGAGATGGTCTTGCCTGCATTCATGCCTGATGCTGACTCTGTGCCATCTCAGTCAGGCAGTATGTTGTGAAGGTGGTTGTACTGAACCAGCTGTGTTGTCCTGACACGTGAAATGCACGTGAGTGTCTTCAGACAGAGCAAGAAGGTAATGCTAGGGCTGTGTGCCCCAGTTGCTCTTCTGCTTCACTCTTGCTGAGAATTAATTTCCATTTTAGCTAGAAATAAGGAACACTGCAGTCCAGATATTTCCCTGCATTTGGATCAGGCTTGTGGACTGTGGCAGTCCATCTGGGGCCACTCAGGTAGATGGAAAGGACTTCAGGAACATTTGTTTCTCATAATCTATGGTACCTCATGGAATGCCTCAGCATGGCACTCTTGAAGAAGCTGGTGAGAAATCCAAAGTCGGTCACATCTTACCAACAGCACTTGTTTTGGCTCTTTCAGCACATGGTCAAGTACCCACACTACTTTGCAACTGACACCAGAGATGCCAACTTTGACAAAGGGTCCATCAAGCTGGATTTGAAGGACATTGACCTCAAGAGACTGTCCTTCGAGATAGAGCGAGAGAGGTATCAATATGCTTGTGGTGTAAATAAAGAAGAATATTAACTGTGGAAAGTACAGAAAAGAAAAATTCTTTGGGAATCAACAGGTCATATCCTTAACACATCAGGACAGTCTTCTTGTTGTAGGTATGACTGGAGGTCTTTTACTGAACTGGTGCAGGTTATGTGTCTGTAAGACTTGCTGTTTTATACACAGAAAGAGTTTCATGGTGGCATCAAATCATGACAGGTGCAGAACCCTCTTGTCTTAAAGACTATTATGTCAAGCACAAAGTTGTTTGTTTGCAAATTAGAGGACAGAAGTTTCCCTCTAGTGTTAGAGTGTGGTATTGGTTTGATTCACAGCCTTTTCCTCCTGGTCTAGAGGGAAATTCTTGGTTAGAAAGTGAATACTGAGGGGTTGAAGTGAACTTCCTTCTCACTGGAGCAGAGAAGTGAGGCTGACATGTAACGGACTCAATTTTGCCTATGTATGTATAGGCAAAATTATGCTAAGATCTCCTCTCCTTATCTCATTATTGAGCTTTGTTGTGCTAGTAAGCTTTTTGTCTCTGATGTGTGGACTACAGGCTAGATTACTTAGAAAAGAGCAAAAAATTTGAAGATCGACTGAAAGAACTGAAGTCTGAAATTCATGCTTTGAAACTAGAAGAAAAACAGTCTGGGCTTTACTCTCACTGGAATGAAGTATTGGGATCCTTGGATCGCTCCTTAGGAAATGTATGTAACCTAAATTCCTGCCACTTCTTTAAGCATAGTGTGGTCTCTCGTGGTTTGCATCACGTTCTCATTTATGTGCTTTGTGGTTGCTATTAATCTATTGTGAAAGTTGTGGCTTTCTTTTTATTCAAGCAGCAAAGAACTAAACTCAGATTTTGGTCAGAAGTTTCTTGTTGTATACACAAACACTCTTCCCAAACCAGGGCAAGGATAAGGGCTGTCTTTGCTTTTCCATGTTGTTCCATATATAATAAAAGTGACCCTGAGTAAATTGTTTCAGAGAGAAGGGAGGATGGAAAAACTGAGGGAGGATGACCTATATTCTCTGGCAATGCATTTCATGTTCTTTTTGGCTTAATAAATGTTGATGTAGAGAGGGCATTACATTTCCACGTGCTCTTTTCTTTTAAAGATCCCATCGTGGATGAAAACCTTTGAAACTGGCGATGCATCAGATGTAAATCTTCATAGGCCTTTCCCTGCTTACTCGTTAAATCCTACAAGCAGCTGGCCTTGTACCAACAAAATCCAACACACAGTGCCAGTGCAGAAGTCATCTCTTCAAACCAATTCCTTGATTGCCAACAGTGTGGGCACAGGAACCAGAAAACAGATTGTAAAGGTAAGCAGATAAGTAAATTCCCAAATATTGATCAGAGGTTTAGAGTTCAGGGTAGTAAAGTGTGGTTGGCTTTATAGAATCATAGAATTGCTCAGGTTGGAAAACACCTTCAAGATCATCAAGTCTAACCACAAACAGTTCCACAGATGGGGCTGTTTTATCCAACCCTCTCTGCCCCTCAAACAACAGGTCACAAAGCATGGCTGTTCCACAAGTGTGGAGCGCCTTCATTGAAGCACCACTCTGTAACTTCAAGGCCACCTGTTTTTTCTCCCTTGTGATCAAAGCTGGAATACAAAACTTTAAGTCTTGGTAAATGAAAGCGATGCCCGTGCGCAGTAGAATTTGTTAAACTTTATTTATATCAGCTAGGCTTGGAAATGAGGATGTGCTCTGAGAGAATTTAGAACAAGAATCCTATAGAAATAATGAATTTGGTCTTACAGAATAAAGTCAACCCATTTTTCTTCTTGCTTGGAGTGAAGAATAGATGCAGTGTGTTCAAGAAGACCTGTAGGAATGCACAGTCCTGTGCAACTGGAAAGAAGTCAGCTTTCTCCCGGCAGTGAAATATTGGGAGTAAAGAAACCCTGATGTTTTTTAATAAACAAAACTGGGGGTTTTCAGGATCAATTAGAGGTTGTAGCATATAACCTTCAAGGTCTGAACCTTTGGGGTTGTGTGCTTAAAACTAGAAGGAAAACAGTTCAGTGTAGCAACAACTGAGAAAGCTGTTCTTTCTATTGCAAATAACAAATGTTTTAAGACTAACCTGACCCCATGCAAGGCTAAGGCAAATAGATCTGTTTCAAGAGGGAAGATAAAGCCATCACAAGGCATCTTGTAGAAGACTCTGGTCAGATGAAAAGGAGAAATTGGACTATGGCAAAGTAGGTTTTGTTTCAGTAGGAGTTCAGAGCAGAACTAATTTTTCCCATTTGCTTTGCATGTAGGTTCAGCAGCATGACTCAGATGTGATCTACATTTGAAGAGCCTCGTTTCCTTACCAGACTGGTGGAACCTGATGGCATCTGTTTGGCTGCCACAAAATGCACCCACATGAGAACGCTGGTGCAGCTCTGTCTCCTGACAGCCATCAGCACAGAGATGTGGTTCAATAGGTAGCAGTGCCATTTGGCTTCCAAGCAGGTCGCATGAGCTGGGAGCACTAAAACTGCCAGTGTAAAATGGCTCATGGCTTTGGGTACAGTGGTAACCATACACCCAAAGGAGCACTGTTTACTTTTTAATGCACTTTTGAAAAAACACTTTATACTTCTAAGCCTTCCTCCCCTAGGTAATTCTACACACTGACTTACCAAGATGGTTCATTTTGTGTAGAAGGGATGCTAGGTGTTTGGGAGACGTTTGGGATGAGAAGGAAAATTGTCCATCAGCTTGGTGTTCACTTACACAATAGATTAATTCTGGTTCGGGTCCTGTCCATGGGACGTGACTCTTACAGAACTGCTCAACCTTGTAGTGTTTGCCTGCCAAATATTTTCCTTTTCCTCCTCAAATGTTTCTCTGTTCACTTAATTGATTTTCATTTCTCTGTGAGAAATCTCAGTGTGTAATTCCAGATGTAGAATTGGACATCTTCAAATACCTCTAGTTCCTGGGGGAATCCCATTGTTTGGAATGCAAAGCTTCTGTTCTCTCTACGTTTCCAACTAGATCGAGCACTTTCTGTTGCTTGCCGCTTCAGCAAACTTAGCATACATTAACTTGTTTCCCAGTTCTGTGCGACACAGCTTCCAAATGAGACAAAGACAAAAGATATTAGTGATGTCTGCTAAAGCTGGACTTGCTTCTGATGGAGAGGTGCATGCAGCAAAATGTCTGCCTTATTAGGAAAACCTGCTCATATTTTCTCATTCTGTGTGTGTGTCTGTTTCACCAATAAATCTTCAGTCTGAGGACTTTGGGGAAGTAGGCGATACGCAGCTGTAGCTAACGTAGTAGCACAGTTGAGCATGTGAGACATGGTGTAAAAAATAGATGCTAATGGTAAATATCTAGTTCCAAAAGCTAAGACTAAAGAAAATACATGAAATAAAAAGCTTCAATTTTCACTTGCTTGTAACAGCTTTGAACTGAGTGGTGTGTCAATATTGCAACAGCATTAACAAGGCAACTTGCAAGAACAAACATGCAAATCCCCTCTGTATACATCTACAACAAGCTGAGCACAGTGGGGGATAGCATCCGTAGCCAGCTCTCTGCTCAGACTTCTAACAGTCATGACAGTTACATGGCAGGATACACGTAACTGCTATCTGCAACCCTGTCCTGCTGTCTTTTCTCCTAGCCTTAAGAGTGGCTGCTGCTGCTGCTGGAAGGAGGAGGGAAGAGTGGTGGGAAGCTTAGAGTGGTTTGAGTTGGAAGGGCCCTTAAAGGCCATCTGGTCCCATTCCCTGCAGTGCACAGGGACACCCACAGCTCCATCAGTGCTCAGAGCCCCTCCAGCCTGACCCTGGGGGTCTGCAGGGATGGGGCCCCATCACACCCCTGGGCAAGGCCTCACTGCCCTTTCTGTAAACAACTTTGTCCTTATATCCAGTCTAAATCTCTTCATGGCTCTGATACTTTTACAGGTTATTGCATACATAATTTCTGATTTTCCCCAAATTTGGTTTGGGGAAAAGCCTTCCACATGGGATGGAGAAGACACAAGAGGCAGACGCAGATGCTGTGAAAACCCCAATGTTGGGCTGGTGGCATTGGCCAGAAATGGACAGTGATGAGATAGGAAACAGTGAAAAAAAATAAAAAGCAGTTCTGGGCTTGTCTTTCTCAGCTCTTGCATGGGGAGAGGAACGGATGAAGAGCGCTGGGACTTCCCTGTCCTCCAGTTTCCTCTTTTGTGTCCTGATGTAAATAACAAAGCTGATACCCTTATCCTTCATTTCTCTGTCATATTTGAGCTGCTTCATGGGATGAGGCAGGAGGGAAGTGAAATGCTCCACAGCCATGTTTTATTCATTTCTTTGGACTCAACTGGTAAAAATCCTGTGTGCCACAATGCAAGGGAGGACGGAGTCCCACTGCTGCCAGATTGAAAGGAAGACTATCTGCACAAGTTGTTCTCAGCCTGTGGGCTTAGAGGTATTCTTTCTGTGCATTGCTCTTCTACAGCACCATGTACCTGTGCAGATGTTTGAAAGTTGATTAACAAAACGGCAAGAAATTATTGCAGAAAACTGGGTGAATGTAGATATACTGGTCTGTTGCTGGGAAGGCACTGCAAAGAGAAGTTTGCTTAAAACCTGAGCAGATTCTTGAGTGATTATACTTGGTTATCGGTGCTGCTGATGCTCATGCTCACTAGCAGCGTTGGCTGCTTCATCAAACAATGACAGCTGTGTTGAGAGCGTGGGGTTTTCCTTCATTTGGAGAAAATGAGAAGTGTGAGCCCTGAATTCCCCCAAAGCAAAGTGGAGAACAAAGATACGCTGTTCTAATCAGTCACTGCAAAATTTGTCATCCATAAGACCGAGGTGTTCATCGGGTGATGCTGCCAGCAGCTTTGAATGATTGGGGCTGGAGACAGAGCTGATTGTGGTGATGGTCCGTGGACCTGCAGGCAGCAGATGGTGCTAAAGTGCAGCCTGTTCAGATGTGCTTCTCATCAGCTCGGAACAACCAGGAGGCCCTACATTACTGTTTGACAGTGTCTGCCAATGTCTACATTCCCACACCAACCTGAGCTTGCTGTTGTTCTCTTCCTGGAGTTTAACCTGTCATAATTTTTTATTGGAATTCAAAATGTGTAAGTGCTGTAGTCTGAGGAGCGATTACTACATGCACAGCTTAGTCCCGTGGGTATGAGCCAGCTCCCAGTGATGCAGAAATATCCTCTAATAGTCCTGACACATAATTGTGTCAGAAGTTGTAGAAGCTGTGGGTGCCCCATCCCTGGAGGAGACCAAGGGTGGGCTGGAGGGGCTCTGGCTACTGAGGGTTGGAACCAGATGGTCTTTAAGGTCCCTTCCAACCCAAGTCATTCTATGATTGTCATCATCTAACTTTGAAAACGGCCTTCTGAGTGGATCTCTAAATGGATTTCTGAAGGTGAAAATGGATCTTCTGAGTGAGCCACAAGTTTGTGGGACCCCACAGATCCTGTGCTGCTTGATATTTTCATTAGTGCTCTTTGAAACAAGTGCAGGCCTGTTAAATTTGCAGAGCACGGAAATGTCATGAGTGATCTAAAGAGGGCCTGAGAACAGTATACAAATACATAAAGGACTACCAAGGAGGGGCTGTACGATGGAGGGGGACAAACTCACAAGGAGGCTCTGTTGTGACAGGACAAAGGGAAACAGCTTCAAACGAACAGAAGGGAGATTTAGACTGGGTATAAGAAAGAAGTTGTTTCCAGTAAGGGAGGTGAGGCACAGGCTGCCCAGAGAGGAGTGGTGCCCATCCCTGCAGACCCCCGGGGTCAGGCTGAAGGGTTGTGAGCATCCCTGAGCACTGTGGGCAGTGGGACCAGGTGGCCTTTAAGGGTCCCTTCCTTTTCAAACCGTTCTGTGATTCTCTAATTCTATTACAAGGAAGACTGAACAAACTGAACATGCTGATTAAGACGTGATATTCTAGTGTCGTACTAAAACCAGAAATGGAAGAAGAAAATATAGCAGCAGAGAGGGAACGCTAAGCAGAGTGAGGAAGTCTGTTCCTGGAGTGAGCCTTTATCTCCTGTGTGGAAGCTGAAGACTTTCTACAGCCCTGTTTTCTCTGTTTCCCTGAAAAACCACTTGCTCTAACCCTGAGGGGCTCTCCCTGCCTTCATTAAGAGCACAGATAGGAAACCACATGTTCTTATTCAGCTGGTTGCTCCTGATCTGAGCTGTAGGAGTGAAGAAGTGCAGGTTAGTTGTCACTAGACTTCATCCAGTGTTAGCAAACAATGGTTGCATACAGTTCCTGCCTGATCTGCTGAGGCACTACTGCTGTCCCCTAACCTGTGCCACTTGTGTGTGTGCCCTCACTCCTGAACCCACTGTGCTGAGGCATCTCAGCATCTTCAGAGCCACCATATCCTCTCTGTATCCTCTGATTCACCCAGTTGTGAAGATCAGCCAGTCTGTATTCACCTTGCTGGGCTACAGGGTTAATCTGGCACCACAAGGTGGGTGCTGCAGTCTCCTGAGTCATCTCTTGACCTTCTCCTCCCTGTGCTGCTGTTTTTAGGGAGCCCAGACATCGGCAGCGTGATGAGTTCACATCCTGCCTCTGCTGGCTGCTGTTGCAGAATTACTCTCAGGCTTCTTCCTCTTCTTCCTTGCAAGCAGGCTGTCAGCCCTGCAGCTCATTTCAGCAGCAGAGGCTGTGCTGCTGCCTCACTCCTGTCTAGCCATGTGCACTCTGAGCCAGCAGGATCTGTTGTTATTTCTTGTGCCTGAGAATATTCTCTCTGTTGCTGGAGATGGCTGCCAACTCCCTGTGTCCTTCTGTACCCAAACATCCCTGCACTCATGTTTAAACCTCAAGAGATAAAGGGCATTAAGCGGCACCCCTACTTTGAATGTCACGTCACAAAGATGCTTGAAGATCTCAGAATGTAAACCCACGAATCAGGCCTTGGAAAGAGACCTTTGGGATAAGCTGAGCCACACAGGCTGTAGTAACCCTGCTCTCAGCTCTGTGAGCACCAATTCCCTCTCTTTCATCTCAAGTTCACAATGTGGAATTGAGTCTGAGCATGAGCCCACTCCAGCTTCTCCATTATTCCTTCAAGGGATGGGCTGTGGGGTTGGCATGGAGCAGGACTGGCCTGGTACCCACAGAGCAGCTCTCCAGCAATCAGGAGAAATTTGAAACGAGGCACATCCAAACTGAGGCACCTTTCCCCACTAACGTCTGTATATCTGGTGGTCTCTAAGTGGTGCATGGGTGTGTAGGGCAAAAGCAGCACAGCGACGCCTGCTCCGATGGCCGTGTGGCATTAGTCCTAATAGCACATCTGGGGGTGAAGGTTGGGTCTAGGTGAAACACTGAGCTATGTGTTGTTATTTCTGGTTTCCTGCACTCTTTGGTTCTCCTTTCTGTTTTCCTACAAGGCAAA